GGAGTCTATAGTGTTAATAAACTGCAGCCTTTAACATATAGAATACTACCCAGTATGTCCTTGTCCAGAGCTAATTGTAACGGAACCATTATGCATTTTGATGAAAATGAAAGAAAAAAACCCAGCATAAAATGCGTTGAATATGATGTGACTATAGAGTTAAAAAAAGTTATATGCAGATTGATTATAATTTTGTTTCAATTCGACCTTAAAATGAATACTTGCTTGAAAATTCTTTCTTTTTATTTAAAAAATCTTTTTCAAAAGATAAACACGGTTTCTTTTGACGTAACTTGTCCCCTTGTATAGCTGTAATACTAGTATATAAATTGTTTACTCGACGTAACTTGTCCTCGGGTATTTCTGATCACATGATTGCACATATGAGGTAATGTGTATTATGTCTTCGTCTGTTATCGAGCGTCATGCGGCGTGAGTCAAGTGTGAACATTTTCGACTTCTTCTTCAGAACCAGTGAACTGATTGATTTCAAACTTGCTACAAACGTTCATTTTGTTGGCCCAGTCTCGTGCCGATCCAAAACATTGAGATGACCGCCCTAGCGTCTGATTGGGGGTATATTTTCCACTCCTTCTCAAGAATGGTTGAAGAAATTAACTTCAAACTTGGTACAATAATTTCTTAAGAGGTCCTCGACAAGTTCTCCTTTTTCGTCGCTGATCTGAAAATCTCAGATGGCACCTGCTTTGCTTAGACATTTCGACATCTTCTCAAGAACACTTGGTCACACTTGGTACAAATGTCCTTAAGATATCGCAATGAAATGTTGCTTTTTTCGTGCCGATAAAAAAATCCCAGAAGTCCAACGAGACCTCTGATTGGCAAGAGACATTTTCGATTTTTACTCATATGGGCGTCAAGGCCCTTCGGGCTTCTTGTTATATAATACACATACACACGGTTCTCCCGACGTAACTTGGCCTGTAGATGATCTGTAGATGTGTTTATGTTTGCCCCGAGCTTATCGGTATACTATTCCATTCTATTGTCAAACTTTGTATGAAAGCTATCAGTTTATTTAAATACCTTGCCGAATTATTGCTGCATAATACCTGTACTGAAAACAGGTCGTAAGCTTACAAAGAGGCCCGGGCTAGAGAGGAAAAACAGGAGAATTATTAACTTCTTTATAATAACTAAAAAAAATACGATGACGGTACTGATTTATTGGAGAGACAGCAGGTGCGCTACCTCTTCGGACATCCCTATTGTATATTATTTTAGCAGACGCTTTACCTTATGTCTTATGTCTGGTAATAATTAATTCGAGAAGCTACACACAAGCGGGACAATTGCAGACTGCTGTAAAACAGCTCGGCGTCGTATTCGAGTCAGTACTACAACATCCATCGGATCCTCGAGTGATGATCGAGACGTACCGTGGTGTCCTAACGAAGGTATTTAGTGTTGATATGTAGTATATGTCGTGATGTCCTAACGAAGATATTTAGTGTTGATGCAGTGTTTATCGTGATGTACTAACTAAGGTATATAGTGTTAATACAGTATTTAACGTGATGTCCTAACTAAGGTATATTGTGTCAATACAGTGATGATCGCGACGTACCGTGGTGTCCTAACGAAGGTATTTAGTGTTGACACAGTGTGTATCGTGATGTACTAACTAAGGTACTAGTGTTGATACCGTGATGATCGTGATGTCCTAACTAAGGTATATAGTGTTAATACAGTGTGTATTGTGATGTCCTAACTATGGTATATAGTGGTGGAACAGTGATGATCGTTATGTCCTAGCTAAGGTATATAGTGGTGATACAGTGTGTATCGTGATGTACTAAC